TTTTCTCGCAATTTTGACTTTTTTCTTGCAATTTTTGACTTTTTTCTTGCAATTGCGAGTTTATATCTTGCAATTCTGACTTTTTTTCTCGCAATTTTGACTTTTTCTTGCAATTGCGAGTTTATATCTTGCAATTCTGACTTTTTTCTCGCAATTCTGACTTTCTCACAATTGCGAGTTTATATTTTGCAATTTTGACTTTTTTCTTGCAATTACGAGTTTATATCTTGCAATTCTGACTTTTTTCTCGCAATTCTGACTTTCTCGCAATTGCGAGTTTATATCTTGCAATTCTGACTTTTTTCTCGCAATTATGACTTTCTCGCAATTGCGAGTTTATATCTCGCAATTCTGACTTTTTTCTCGAAATTTTGACTTTTTCTTGCAATTGCGAGTTTATATCTTGCAATTCTGACTTTTTTCTCGCAATTTTGACTTTTTCTTGCAATTGCGAGTTTATATCTTGCAATTCTGACTTTTTTCTCGCAATTTTGACTTTTTCTTGCAATTGCGAGTTTATATCTCGCAATTCTTTTTTTCTCACAATTCTAACGTTTTTACAATTCTGACTGTTTTCTCGCAATTGCAAGTTTATATCTAGCAATTCTGACTTGCAACTGAGAAAAAAGTCAGAATTGCTAGATGTAAACTCGCAATTGTGAGAAAAAAGTCAGAATTGTAAGATAAAAACTCACAATTACCTTATTTATTTGTTATTCAGTGGCGAAAACAAGCTTCTATAGTAATATGCTTAATAGTTATGAAAAAAAATTTATACAAAAAGTATTTTTTTGTTTTTAAGTGAAATAAATCTTTAAGAAATAAGAAATTCAGTCTTTATGCCTTTTATAGAGAAAAAATGGAGCTGGACATGTTTCGAACTGTTGATTTATTTGCCTAATGAAATTATCTGATGAAATCTCTTCTCATCGGGTATTGGGGTCGATTGCTGACCCTTTAACACCATATTAGTAATTTATGTCTAAGGTTGAACTAGATTGTGTCTCTCAAGGTTTTCTTAGTCATCAGTCCTGCTAAATCGGAAACAGAACGATATCAAAGGACGAAATGAGAACAGAAAAATGTATTATGACCAGACTGAATATCATGTTCCCTATCACACTTTCCAATGAACCGAACGAGACCAAGTCAAGTCACCTTTATTTATTCATGATTTAATTCAGACCACAAAAAATCTGGAATGGAATTATGGAAAAGAGCACTTAAACTACAACATCTCTACAAATGCGCATTTATTGCTCCCAAAGGGCCTTTAAATAAAAACACTCATAAAAAGACATTTACCTGGACTATAAATAATGAATGTACTGTCAACTCTTTGCAGCTGATCCAGAATGCTGCAGCAATAGTGGTCTTTAACGAGCCGAAGAGAGCACGCGTCACTCCTCTCCTCATAAACTTGCACTGGTTGCCAATTGGATCAAATTCAAATCACTGATGTTTGCCCATAGAACAACCACTGGCCTTGCACCTTTATACCTTAACTCACCACTTCAGACCTATGTGCCCTCCAGAAGCTCGAGTTCTGCAAGTGAACGGCGCCTTGTGGTGCCATAATCCCAAAGAGGCACACAATCCAAGGACCTTCACCTTGACTGTTCCAAGCTGGTGGGATGACCTGCCTATATCTCAACCCGAACTGCTGAGTCTTGAGCCATTTTCAAGAAATTGCTGAAGACGCTTCTTTTTCGTCAACACTTGTGCCGTTATGACGTTACTTTGTAGGCTAATTGGCAGTTAGCATCAGGCTGGTTCCCTGGACAAAACCCAATAAGAAATACTTGTTTATCTGTATTTATCAATGCCATTGTAGATGTATATTTTGTTTTTGTTTTCTTGGTGTTCAATAAAACAAAAAAACAAAAAATAACAGGATTTTCCCATAGACTTTTGCTAAAAACAAGCTCTTTGATCAACAAAAGTTTATGATAGTTAGGCCTACACGTTTTGTCCATCAAAATAATGATCACAGATGGAATCAAATTTTATGAAATTTTGAAGCCTAATGCAGTCGCCAGAAGTAAAAAGCTAAGGGTAACTGTTAGGCTATAAACGAAATACACCACGGTCGGTCCCACAACAGTTTTTTTTTATCTAAAAACATTTTTCCAGAACATTTTAGTTAGAATAGTTTATAAGAGTACAATTATAAGCATAATGAGGCTGTAAACGCGGACTGAGTTTACCTTTTCTGCGTGATGATGTTTAATCTCCTCACAGCCTCTGTTAGCAACGCCGTTTTCCAAGACACAACTGTTAACAGCTTAAAAAAAAATCACACGAGTGGGGTAATATTTATGTATTTTATGTCGTAGAATACATTTTAATACAAAAAAAAAACATTTTAGGATGCTAATGCTAATAATAATCGGAATAAACAAATATTCCGCCACGCAGTTCACTGTAACGTTAGCCGTTTGCCAAGCAATTAACTTAGCGACTTGACGCGTTTATTGGCATATTTTACGATTTCGTTGTTGGTCCAGTCAGAATTTACTGTCGACGCTATCTGTTTTATAATAAGCATGCATACATGTTCATTTTTAGGAGCTCTGTGTGTGCTTGATTTATTTATTAAGATATAGGCCTACGTTTGTAAAAAGTTGACTTAATTCGCGAAGAACTACGCGATCATGTGACCCGGGCTGCAGACACACGCACTGCCGCTAGAGAGCAGAGGAGCTGCTTCATTCATCACCAGCTGAGTGAGTTTATATACAACATCAACATCAGCACTGCGAGCACACAGCAGAAACTAGAGGAGACTCGTCTGAAGAAGATGCTCATAAACCAGAGGAGACTTTTCTGAAGAAGATGCGCAGATGTCCTCACTCCGAGATCAAGACGAGTTTAATACTGTGGGATTAATACTGTGAAGGTAGGACATTTTCATTTCTCAAGGGAAAGTTAAATCGTTGTGGGAGTTTTCCTGCTGATCTGCGCCCTTTTCCTGTAACAAAAAATATATTTTAATAATAAATACATTTTAAAAACAATTGTTTGACTGTATAATGGCGTACATAATACAAAGAATGTATCTTAGAAGTTTGTAGCCAATTAATTCTGAAGCTCTCGTTGACCGGTGAACCACGAATAGCTCTCAAAAAATAGTTTTAAATTTAAGAGCAGAATATATTTACATCTCAGACTGAAGTGCGTGTATTGTTTATTAATTGTGAACGATTAGATTGTGAATAGTTTATTATGTGTTTGCTGATTGCATAATGTAAACGTTTATGATTTCCCTTTATCTTACAGAGCTTGTTTTGCCCATGACTGATCAACTTAAATATAATATAATCTCATTATAGTGCCATTCCTAAATTGGGAGTCTCATTTTGGCTGTTCCACAAAGTAGGCTAATTGTAAATGCATTTTAAGTATACATGCAACAAAAAAATAATTTAAATCTGTGTTGTGGAGCTTAATGCAACCTTTATAGTCCAGTCATGCATTTATAAATATTTTGAAAAACTTGTTTGATTACTTGTCATTTCAGAGCACTAAAAGCACTATTAATTTCTAGTTTATGTCACTCTAGCTGGGACTGACACTATATTTGTTATACCAGCCTCATACTGTACCACCAGATAACAAAAGAAATCAAAAGAAACAGGAGAGGCAACTGAAAATTAGTACACAAAAAGTCTAGTGAATAACATTCTGTTTTAAATCAAAAGAAGCGCAGCTAAGTCTTAATTAAACATGCTTCTAAATCTGAGCATTATCATAAACCCATCCCTAATGTGGCCATCTGTGAGCTCTCTGAAAAATAAAAATCTGTAACTGCCAGATAACAAGCTCATTTTCACGGAGAGTGGGTTGTGAATAGCTATATTTTCTTCCATTAAAAGAACTCACCCAAAGTGAATATTTTGTTGTCATTTATTCACCCTCATGTCAGTCCGACCCCATATCATTTTCTTTCTTCCATAAAACACCAAAATGATAGTTTGGCAGAATGTGTGAGCTCTTGCTGACTATACGCTCTTAAAATAAAGGTTCTTTATTTGCATCAATGGTTCCATGAAGAACCGTTAACATCCACATAACATTCCCTTTCCACAAAAGGTTCTATATAGTGGGTCTTCAGATTGTTAAAAGGTTCTTCACACTAAGAATTTTTTTTTTTTTTTTTTTTTTAAGAACTGACCACTTTAAGTTTCTTTGGGGAACCAAAAATCATTCTTAATAAAAATAAAGTTTTTTTTTTTTTTTGCAATGATGCCATAAAATAACCATTTTTGGTTCCTCAGTGAATCTTTCAGTGAACAGTGAACAGTCCCCCAGTGGTAAAAATCAAGCTTTTAATGTTGTTTATATGTCTATGTGGTGTTTTTAATACGTTTTAAGACAAACCATGTGTAAATTCATAAGTCGACAGCATTGCTGAGTATTTTCTCCTTAAAACTGCAGTGAACCAAAGACAGTCTCAAAAACACGGTTTGAAATCGCTGGTGTTTCTGACGTCATAAACGACCTTGTAACCAATCAGATCAACGTGTGATCGTCAACGACTGGATCTCTGAGCTGGTGTGAGTGAGTGGAGGCGGGGCTCATTTGCATATTCATAGAACCGCGTTTACTAAATGAGACAAGGGTGTCGAGTTACATTCAAGATATTTTAAGGCATGAAGAATTTTTTTTCAAGGAAAAAACATTTAAATGTGTCATTTTGGTGATCAAAGGTGAGTTTTAAGGGATACAATTATTGACTTCAGGGGGTCTTTAAAATGTGTGTGTGAGAATAACATTTTAATGATCTGAAGATCATAAAGAACATTTTGTGCTATGGAAAAGTTGCATGGAGCTGAAGCTTCTTCATGGAACCGCAAATGCCGTTAAGATGCAGATGATTTTTAAGAGTGTGGCATCGCTATGAAAACTACCAAACTGTGAAAAATGTCTTTTAAAACTATGTGGTGGAAGCTAATTTTCTTAATTTTGCAGCTGACAACAGATTGTGCATTGGGGAAAGAGTATGGAAGACCCTGGTTCTTTAACAGACCAGTAAAAAGAGAAGATGGGAGAAGACAACATGAGCACCTCCACCAGCACATGGACCCTCATCCACCCGTCAGGAAGCCCTCATGACCTCATGACCCCGAATTACGACATCCCTCTGGACTACGAGGTCCCGGTGGACGAGATCCCGGACACGACTCAGGGACGCGCGTTCTTCGTGGCCACCATTGTCATCGCGGTGGTCTTGGTCTCCATCATGCTGGTCTGCGGCGTTGGGAATTGCATCTTTATTGCCTCATTGGCGCGTTACAAAAAACTCAGGAATCTCACTAATTTACTCATCGCCAACTTGGCAGTATCAGACTTCCTGGTGGCGACTGTGTGCTGCCCGTTTCTGGTGGATTATTACGTGGTCAAACAGCTGTCATGGGATCACGGGATTGTGCTTTGCGTCTCCATTAACTACCTCAGGACGGTGTCTCTCTACGTGTCCACCAATGCCCTGCTAGCCATCGCGGTGGACAGGTGAGTGTGTCTCTCTGAGCTAGTGCTGCATGAGTGGGAGTTTCTTTAACCCAAGACTTTAAAGGTGCAAAACGCAAGTCTCTGAGTTTTTGCAGAACTACGCCCCCTCTGGCGACAAGCGAAACTGCAACCAATTCTGATTGTACATGTATCTAGCTTACGCTAAAGCATTACACATTTTACGCATCGTCAATTGTTGTCATACATAGATTGGCCGTATCAAACATTAGAGACTGGGCTATATCTTACCGTTTTATCAAGAAAAAAGCCAACTGAGGATCCCGTTTGAGACCAAGAGCAGACCGGAGATCTCTCCATTTGTTGAATGCCTTCCCGAGGTTGACTCTCGTCTTACTCCGACGCCTGTCTGACTCCAATTAGGACCTTTTGGTGGCACTAGACAACATTTTTCTTTTCTTTACTTTACGTGGAGTTTGCGTTGGGGTTTGGAATGGACTACAAGCCGGTCTCTTTGAATCCATCTTCTACCTTTGACGCACGAGTTGTCTTCGCTGATGCGGAGAATGGCGGCGCCGGCGAATACACAAACCTGCGAGACATAGCCTGGTGAGCGTGAACGCGCATGACGTCACGCCCAGTCTCAAATTCGAGCCCGAATCCCTCTTATATATTTTACTGTACAGGATTATAGAGGCAATCTCAGTGCGCAGAGAAGGGCTCATTCAGCCCATCAGGCAGTTCCTAAAGCATGTATAGGATAGAAAAACAGGTATTTTTAACATGAAAAGTTGCGCAATGCACCTTTAAGAGTTGGGATTTGTTTATGGCAAATTGGTATTGGTCAGAAGGCAACAAGCTTGTGAGACCTAGGCTGCGTCCGAAATCGCATACTCTCTTGAGTAGGTACTTATTTTGAATAAGTAATCACTCCACAACCGCTAACAAAGTATGTTCTCTATTATGAATGTAATCTGGACGTACTACATTCGCCATGTTGTCATTGTCATGTGACCTACCAGCGTCAGTTGCGTCGCTTCACTGCCATTCACAAATCCTCTCCTGTGGCCTCATGGGACAGTAAAGTGTCCATCGTACGCACACTTCAGAATATCACTGGAAGTAGTATGTCATCCAGGTGATGTTAGCCTACTCTTTTATACTGTGTACTGTGAATTCTGACATACTTCTTTTGTCACATACTGTTTTTCGCCTATTATATAGTAGGGAAGTGTGTGATTTCGGATGCAAAATAGGGCCTGAAATTCTTAGTCATTTTTTTCAATGTCATTTTGAAAGAAATTAATACTGTTTTATTCAGCAAATACACATTAAATTGATCAAAAGTTATAATAAAGACATTTACAATGTTACAAAGGATTTCTATGAACAAATATGTTGTTCTATTGAACTTTCTATATATCTTCTAGAACTTTCTATACATCTAGAAATTTGTATATATACATCAATGAATCATGAAAATAAAAATATTTCATGGTTTCCACAAAAATATGAAATGGCACAACTGTTTTCAACATTGATAATAATTATAAATGTTGCTTGAGCATCAAATCATCATATTAGAGTGATTTCTGAAGGATCATGTGACACTGAAGACTGGAGTAATGATGCTGAAATTCAGCTTTGATCACAGGAATAAAATACATTTTACAATATATATCCTCTCTTAATACATCTGAGATGATTTGACAGATCTTCTAATCATAATAACTGGCCTCTGGCTAATTTGGTTCTTCAAAGGAATTTGTGGATTTGATTAAAATATCAATGGCTGGGAGTCTGGGACAGACTTCCACTAACAAACCCATCCTGGATCCCCAAAACAATCCTGGATCATGTCGTCAACAGTGAAATCCAGATGACAGAGTAATCCACGGACGAAGAACGGGCCCTCGGCACGGCTGTCTAGTTCAGTTAATTGTATGTTAGATAATACTCTCTCTTCAGGTCGTTTCATTTCTGTCGTATTCGTGGGGGGTGCCGAGTGAAAAAGAGAAATTGAAAATCGCTTGAACACACGAATTCCTGTTTATGACTTCCAATCTTACCAGAAGGAATTTCTCAGAAAGGCTTGAAGGCAGGATCAGGTTCAGGTTTAGGAGAGACTGCAGAAGTCATTCATGCATTCGGATGCTTTCTGAGGTACAGCTGCACCTGCATGTGAGCAACATGCGCTCGCATCACATTTGGCCATTTACTGAGGCTAAGCTAGGCCATTTACTGAGGCTAAGCTAGGAAATTAGCATGTCAGCTTGAATGGCCTGGCAGAACATGCTGTATTTATACTCATGTAAACCGAGGTCTTAGATGTCAGGTTTGCTAGCATGTCGTGAAATCAGCATCTGGCAACAGTCTCGCCGCCTCTGAAGATCTTAATGTTAACCCGTTCGTCAGTCCGTGCTGCAGTTTGGTTATTTTTGATCAATCCATTCTCAAGCACATTTCAGTAAATAGCAGGACAGATATTCCCTTTAAAATTACAATAAAACTTAATAAGCTGAGTCTCTACTTAGGCAACTACCTTCTAAGGTAACATCCTAACTGAAATTAAAGGGATAGTTCACTTTGGAATTAATTTTTGGTATGTTTTAGCTTACCTCAAGGGCATCCAAGATGAAGGTGTCTTTGTTTCCGCAGAAGTTTCAATTGTGATATTTTTAGGTCAAACCGTTCTTGTCTGTCAGTCATATAATGCAGGTCTATGGTCACCACCTCAAAGAGCATGCACAGAGAAGTACAAATTAAACATGATTTAATGACTCGTAAATGTAAGTACAGATTGATGGCCTAAGACACGAAACGAGCGGTTTGTGTGAGAAAACGAACAGTATTTATATCGTTTTTACCTCTTGTAAACACAGCCACGTCCAAGTGATCTGAGGGCGCGGGCGCTTCGGTCTTTTCCGGCAAGCGCCGGAAGTGATCTCTCGCGCGTGTACGTCACTCATACAATTGTTTTATTTTGTATTTATTTTAATTGTTTTCTTTTACGATGGTTTAAACATCCCGGATAAGCGCAAATTAGTACCATTTTAATTACTTAATTACCGTCTTACCTACAATCTCTGCTCTGTGTAAACAATGAGTGACGTACACGCGCGAGAGATCACTTCCGGCGCTTTCCGGCGCTTGCGCTTACCTTTAAGCCTTGTAAGTTTCATTTATTGCTATAGAGTTTGACAAAATGACACTTTAATAAGCATCCAAACACATAGCACGCTGAATATATATTGGCTAAGAAGGCGTTTACATGATACTGTTTTCAACTAAAAACAGAAAACTTTTTATGCGTTTTGGCCGTTAATTTGCACAACGCCGTTTTGTGGGCCTGAATACACAAACTTTTGAAAACGTTTTTTTGAAATGTTAACGTTATCATCTGTGTAAACTACAAAAACGCGAATCTGTGAAAACGGTGATGTATGAATGGATCCGTATGAATGAAGATCGTTTTTGACAACGTTGCCGTCTGAACGCAAAAAAAAAAATGATGAAGGCTACATTTTTAATTAGACTATTTTAGCAATATTTTCAGTATTGAACAAAAAATATTTGTAATTGTGGATGGTTTTTACTGAGCTGTGCATTGCAATGCATTGTGGGATTGTCTTTTCCATATAATGCAGTATTTAGCCAAAATAAGTTACCTGGGATAGACTATAATGCCTTTAAATGCTCACTGCCTAGGCAGCTCGCTAGGTTTTCGAACAGAGCCGCTCATTCATGAAATCATCCAACCTGTTGCTCCGAGCAGAACTCCGACTTCTTATTTGGGATCAAGTAGCACAGATAACACATATCAATAGTAAATTGAATAAAGTATAAAAGTCTTTAGTCTGCCCATGCATCTCAGTAACCGAGAGTACGTTCTGTTCACTCCTGCCGATCTAGAGACTCCGCTCCTGAAGGTTTCCTATGGGAAGAACAGAATACCTTGGAACATCACAATTTTAAGTTACATGCAGATGAATTAACACATTAAATTTGGATTTACCGGTAATACATTTGGAATCATTACAGAGAGAGGGACAGATTTCAGACCTCAAAGCCAGAGCCTTGAGCAAAGAGCTGTTCATCAAAACGGACAGAGTATAAATGTGTAGAAATAGTGTACCTTTGATTTAGAGAACAAGAGATGCTATTCGCCGTGAATGTCAAAAGATTATGTGATATCTCATTAAGGACGGGGAGCAGTGATCAGATCAGACAGAGAGATCAGAGAGTCAGTGCGTGTTAATAGACCGCTGTGTGCCAGACCGATAAATAATCCTGATTCATTTTCCACGTTTGAGCCTTGAACAGAGATCCGCTCTGAGATGTTTAATAAACACCCACACACCAAACACCAGATCCGTTCGAAATGCTCACAGTTTCCTGATCCACACCCAGTCCAAAATTCAGAATTTAAGAACTGGCTACATAATGGTAATGCCATTTTTGGAAAATCAAATACCAGTCAAAAGTTTGGACACATTATGGTTTTTTAATGTTTCTGAAGGATCGTGTGACACTGAAGACTGGAGTAATGATGCTGGAAATTTCAGCTTTGATCACAGAAATAAATTACATTTTAAAATATAACACAGGATAATTTAGGCAACTTTAAATCTCCAATATGTACATTTCTCCCGAGTAAATCATATACTTTATGAGCTCATGTGAGCTTTATATAAAATATGATCCTTGCAATTTTGCTTTTTATCTCTGGAACATTGTCCCTGTACTTCTTGGCAACTATGTTACTGATTTTTCTTGTTAAAATATTTATTTTTGTCTTATTTTGCAATTAACTAGAAATGAATAAAACAAAGTACTTGAGAAGCCACACAGCAGAAGATATTAAGACCTCTTTAATTTTGCTTTACTGCCAAAGTAATTATTTTCAGTTGTTTAAAATATAAACAACTAAAAAAATGAGTGAAGTAACACAAAATACACTTTTATTCAAGATACAATATTGAGAAAAGCAAGCAATGTTGCTTTTCAAGTAGATTTACTTGCTTTGCTAAGCAGTTTTTTGGATATTTTACTGAAAAAAATAAGTTAAAAAAACTAAACAGTTTTTTTGCATTGAGAGATAAACTGTCATGAGTCACAAAACTATGGAAGCTTGTTTCCGCCACAAAATAAAAAATAAAAAAGGTTATTGCGACTTTTTTATCTCACAATTCTGACTTTTTGCTCACAATGTCGCAATTCTGACTTTATAACACGCAATTGCGAGTTATAAAGTCAGAATTGCGTGATATAAAGTCGCAATTGTGTGTTATAAAGTCAGAATTGTGAGATCAGTCAGTCTTTTTCAGTCTTTTTGTCAGTCTTTGTCTCGCAATTGCGAGATTATATCATAATTCTGAGAAAAGATGTCAGAATTGCGAGATATAAACTCGCAATTGCGTGTTATAAAGTCAGATCTGCAAGCTATAAACTTGCATTTGCGAGAAAAAAAGTCACAATTGCGAGTTATCTTGTAATTCTGACTTTATAACACGTAATTGCAACTTTATATCTTGCAATTCTGAGAAATAAAGTCAGAATTGCGAGATGTAAACTCGCAATTGTGAGATAAAAAGTCGCAATTATCTTTTAAAATGTTTTATTCTGTTGCGGAAACAAGCTTCCATACAAACCCGTTTCCCCCCTGTTACAAATAACCATGTGCATTCGGGCAGTTTTCTCAAAGTTTTCTGTATTCAACAGGTACATGGCTATCGTTCATCCTCTGAAGCCCCGGATGAGGTTTCAGACAGCGTACTGGCTAATTTTTGGGGTTTGGATTATCCCAGTCCTCATCGCGGTGCCGTCGGCCTACTTCGCCACCGAACACGAGTACCCGCACAGCGCGCTCGGGCACGACAAGAAGATCTTCTGCGCCCAGATCTGGTCTGCGGACCAGCAGGTCATGTACCGCTCCTACTTCCTCTTCATCTTCATCGTGGAGTTCTTGGGGCCCGTGGTCACCATGTCAGTCTGCTACGCGCGGATCTCAAAGGAGCTTTGGTTCAAGAGTGTCCCGGGATTTCCGACGGACCAGCTGCGTAAGCGACTCCGGCGACGGCGCAGGACAGTCGTGGCGCTGATCGCGGTTCTGGTGGCGTATGTGTTGTGCTGGACGCCGTATTACAGCTTCACGTTGTTACGCGACTTCTACCCGGCGCTGATCACGCGCGGACGCAACTCGCTGGTCGTCTTCTACATCATCGAGTGCATCGCTATGAGCAACGGGGTCATTAACACTCTGTGTTTTGTGAGCGCTAGGAACAATGCGGCAAAGTGCCTCGGAGCCGTCAAACTCTCAAACTGGCGCTCGCTAACTAGGGCGATAGTCGGCAAGATGGCGGAAGACGACATTAGGACTTCATCCTTGAGAGTGACCGAGGATGTGGAATGTACACAAATTAAGTGAACGGATGAGACGGGACAATACACAGAAGGTTTGGTGGTCTACTTTGGAAGGATCCGCACAGCATGAACATATGAATTACAGGCCCGAATAAATTAAGAAGGACTTAATCAACTGAATTACCAATGAAAAGGTTCAGATCACAATGGCTAACTGAAGACCCTAATGGGGTTCAGCCAACTGCTGTGATTGTGATATGGAAAATGATGATGATGAGAGACTGAACTCGTTTTATGAGCAACATGAAAGAGAATGCTCCCAGATTAATATATTCATCGCTTCAAAGACCCACCTTACGTCAACAAGCATTTTCAGTGATCGGGCCATAGGTTCTGTGATCAATGTAGATTTTAGAGCAGAAATTATGTTGCTGGCTGATTTGAACAGAAGTGCCAAATAAAATGTCTTGTTTAGCAATTTCCTTTCAGACTAATGTTAAAAAATGGCTGCCTCTACCCAAATTTTTCCTTAAACTTCAAAGACTGTACCGCAGATTCCAGCTGAAATGATCATAGTGCCAGTAAAACACCAACAACTTTTTATTGCTTTTCACACAAATTATGATTTCAGGAGAAAATGACCCATTAATAAAGACTTATTTTTCCTGTTTCTTTGCACAATATACATTATGACCAGGGATTGACACAGTAACTTTTTTGCTCACCAGCCACTGTGGCTAGTGTTTTTTCAAAGTTTCTAGCCACTACTTATTTTAATATTTTTAATATTATCTCATAATTTGGTGGCAGGAATATTAGGCTGCTGTCACTTTAAGACCTGAACCACGGATCCATTATACTGTTACACATGCGTTTTTCTCTCTCTACTGTTTACATTCACTTCAAACATAACTGACTGTTTACAAGAACACTCCCCATGACCGACATTTTGTGTGTATTTGACTGTTTAAGTCTCTCCCCACCCTCATCCCGAATGCAGAATCCCTGTCAACATTCAAGACAACTGAAAACTCATTTCTTCCGTGAGCACTTAACCTAATAAAACAAACAAAAAAGAACTTTCCTTATCCTTTAATATGAATCCTTTAATCCTCCCTTGTCTGGCTTATGCTACTCTGAGCAATGCCTGAACTTTGTATTTTGAGCACTTCTTGCGTTTGTTTTTGACTCTTCCAATGACTCGCTTGCTTTAGTCCTCATTTGTAAGTCGCTTTTGGTCCTCATTTGTAAGTTGCTTTGGACAAAAGCAAAATGTAAATGTTTAAGTGCAATAAGTAGCGAGAAAGAGCTCAATTTAGTGCTGAGAGCCGGCTTTATTTGCATCACTTTGAGTGTAAGCAAAAAATCTGCGGGAATGAGTAAAATTATGCACAAAACACGTAAGGCTGAAATTCAAGCCCTGTAACAGCAACACTATTTATCTGGAGCAAATTAAATGAATGAGTGAGGAGAAACGGGTTTGTGTGTATTGGAAGAGTTTCAGATATTTCATTATCGATAGGCTATGTATCGAAAAAAAAAAAATTGACAAGATTGTACTTAGTTTATTATTTCAGATGCCTTTTTAGAAGTCTACAACTGTAAAATGTATATATTATTTATAAAATTCAGCGCCAAAGTGGCTAGTAGGAGTGACTGCGTTACACGTCACTGCTGAAATACACGGGTTGGTGGCTCTCACATAAGAGCAAAGTTCAAATAAAGCATTTATGAAACAAATAAACAGTTGTTTTAAGTCTTTTTAATGACCCAAACATTGACAAATCAGGCGGAATATTCACTTTTCTAAAACTTAACATGCATGAAAAAAGTTCGTTCTGGATGATGCAACAGCTACAATAATATCTAGCCTAGGGTTTTCTCTAGATCAGAGGAACATTTCAAAAGACGTAGGGTAAATCAGAGGTTAATTTAGAAATTACAATTGTTATTAATCTGGGAATTTAAAAATAAATAAATACAAAAACAGTAAAGTAAATCTAAACGGAGGAAGCCCATTTTCCTTCATCAATCCAGTATATGTGCACGCGTAGGTATGCACTTTTGTTTCCGTACATGACAGTCAAATGCTTTGACTTGTTTTGATCGGTTTTAAGACTTTCCTAGTCGGTTAACGCACTGAGCAAATAGAAAAACAAGCAGACGGCTTGGGAGAAATAAAATGTGCGTAAACGAGTCGAGCGCAGGGAAAAAAAAGCCTTGATTAGAGGAACAATGGGTCCCCACACACTCCATTAACAAGGAATTATCATGTGTGCCTGAATCTGAAAAGCACATTCGTTCTGTTCCCGGTCAACTGCCAACGTAGGCAGTGTTTTAAGATGCCACGTTGCCTCCCAAGATACCTTTAAGGCCAATTTCAAAGCAGAATAGCATGCGTCCTTTGAAGAGAAGGCAATCCCATAATGCATTGCACAAGCTCTTTGAAAAAACTAAATTCAGATGTCGAGAAAAACGTTAATGAACAGTGAAATAAAAAATGAATTACTAATCATTAAAATCAAATTAACTAAAGGACGATAATTAAAAACTTTTATACCCAATATTTTTGTTTTGATTATATTATGCGGTGTCCATGCCGTGTTGTAATTAACACCGTGACTTTTTTACTCTGAGCTATTCTCGGACTCGCAATGGCGACGCTATCAACGCCAAGATGAATATGCAGGGGTCCTCCTGAGGTACAAGTCAGAGCACTCCGAAATTTCAAAGTTGTAATTATGAGTTCTACGGATCTCGAGGAGGTGAACAATTTTCAGAAGTCAAAATCTCATAATTACTGGAATTCCCTGATAGCGCACGTACATCTCGGAGTCTATTTGATGTGCGTGTTTTCATCTGCAAGACATTTCCGGTCAGATGTTAAATAGACATTTAAAACGATGTTTATGATTTAGAATGTAGCCTATGTAAAACTGACTTTTTAAAGATGTTTATCAGATGTTTCAGCAAATGCTTTCATGCGCTGCTCTTTAACAGACATCTAGGGAGACGTGTGCTATCTAATTTCGACATGGCGTGAACGCACCTATAATACCAAACTTTTGTGAAATCAATGGATTTTAGTCTACATTTCATGATTTGCATTATTTGCATATGAGGTTACATTTCATTTAGGATGCTGGCTAAGAAGGCAGCTGCCTATGTAGACCGTCCCTTTGTAGAAAACTCACCGTTTTCGGAAAAAAGACATTGTGCTTTATTCATGAAACATGACGAGAACAAATTTTCAAAGTAAATCATTTTCAAAGCCATTCTTACATAATTGCTGCATCCAATTCAATGCGACAATTTACGCAAGAATGGAACTACAAATGCGTTAGATGCAGATTTGATCTGCTTGTGTGTCAATAAAGTCACCTTTATACACTCACCTAAAGGATTATTAGGAACACCTGTTGATCACATGGCAGTTGCTTCAATGCATTTAGGGGTGTGGTCCTGGTCAAGACAATCTCCTGAACTCCAAACTGAATGTCAGAATGGGAAAGAAAGGTGATTTAAGCAATTTTGAGCGTGGCATGGTTGTTGGTGCCAGACGGGCCGGTCTGAGTATTTCACAATCTGCTCAGTCACTGGGATTTTCACGCACAACCATTTCTAGGGTTTACAAAGAATGGTGTGAAAAGGGAAAAACATCCAGTATGTTGCAGTCCTGTGGGCGAAAATGCCTTGTTGATGCTAGAGGTCAGAGGAGAATGGGCCGACTGATTCAAGCTGATAGCAGAGCAACTTTGACTGAAATAACCACTCGTTACAACCGAGATATGCAGCAAAGCATTTGTGAAGCCACAACACGCACAACCCTGAGGCGGATGGGCTACAACAGCAGAAGACCCCACCGGGTACCACTCATCTCCACTACAAATAGGAAAAAGAGGCTACAATTTGCAAGAGCTCACCAAAATTGGACAGTTGAAGACTGGAAAAATGTTGCCTGGTCTGATGAGTCTCGATTTCTGTTGAGACATTCAGATGTTAGAGTCAGAATTTGGCGTAAACAGAATGAGAACATGGATCCATCATGCCTTGTTACCACTGTGCAGGCTGGTGGTGGTGGTGTAATGGTGTGGGGGATGTTTTCTTGGCACACTTTAGGCCCCTTAGTGCCAATTGGGCATCGTTTAAATGCCACGGCCTACCTGAGCATTGTTTCTGACCATGTCCATCCCTTTATGGCCACCATGTTCCCATCCTCTGATGGCTACTTCCAGCAGGATAATGCACCATGTCACAAAGCTCGAATCATTTCAAATTGGTTTCTTGAACATGACAATGAGTTCACTGTACTAAAATGGCCCCCACAGTCACCAGATCTCAGCCCAATAGAGCATCTTTGGGATGTGGTGGAACGGGAGCTTCGTGCCCTGGATGTGCATCCCACAAATCTCCATCAACTGCAAGATGCTATCCTATCAATATGGGCCAACATTTCTAAAGAATGCTTTCAGCACCTTGTTGAATCAATGCCACGTAGAATTAAGGCAGTTCTGAAGGCGAAAGGGGGTCAAACACAGTATTAGTATGGTGTTCCTGATAATCCTTTAGGTGAGTGTATATATAGTGCTTTATACAATACAGATTGTTTCAAAGCAGCTTTACAGTGATAACAGGAGAATGATTCAATGATGCAAACAGTTCATTTCGCCTGTACAGAAGCTCTAAAAGAAAATAGTGTCATTGTTCAGCTCAAGTCGTTTCAGTGTTCATTCAGTTCTGTTGTAAAGATGATCAATTATTAAATGAGTTCATCTCTAAGCAGTTCTGCAGAAAACAGTGATGTCATCGTCCCCCTCAGTTCAGTTCAGTTCTCATACGGCAGCGTCAGTGCAGTCAATAATCAATAATATTGTTGAATATTAAGCGTCCCCAACTTAGCCAGCAAGAGCCGACAGTGACAAGAAAACATACAGAATCACCTGAAAAAAACTGGCTTTTATTGAGAACATTTGGTAGAACATCACTGATTATGATGCACAACAAAAACTATGCATTAACAGGCACACAACATTTACTTGTATATGAGTCGAGCACTGACTAGAATGCTTCACACTTGACTGAGCTTATGAGAAAAACAGACACGTTTCTCCCTAATGGTTTGGTG